CATGTTTTTGTCTTGCCTTACATGTTTTTAAGGAGGAAATCCAATTATGAAAACATGCACAGACCCAAAGAAAACCTTTGCATGATCTAAAAGGTGCAGAAGATGCATAAAATCTTCATACACGCTGCTCTCATAACACACATCACTGTCCTCATGAGGCTTGCTGCTGAAACTTCAGAGCTTGTGGACTCTGCTTTTTCATCGATGGGAATATTTGCCAACAGCCCTGCAGCTATAGCATTACAGTTTCTTTTTTTTGTCACAGTAGCATGGTCACATGTCTTCGTAGGATGCACAAGAAGATATGTAATGAATAATGTAAATAGGCCTTACCCTTTCCTTTTGTTTTCCAGGTCCCACCTTTCTTCTCATTCTTTTCAGCCTTTCACATCTTGGTGAGTGGATGGCTGACAAACCTGCAGGTGCTGTTGAGCAATCGGATCAGATTTGTTTGTGCGCTTTGAAACAACTCGGGACACTTGCCATGACAACTGGAACTTGCTTGATATTTATCTTTTATGTTGACTTAAACGCCTGAAAGACCAGGAAGCAACTTTTCTTCTCTTGGACATAGAATTACAATTCAATGTTTACTTTGCTTTAAAAAAGTGTTAAAATTAACTTTATAGGAGAGGTCAACGGTGGGAGATTTCCTCCAGTTTGACCTCTTGGCCCCTTTTTTTCTTCTTCCATTGGGTGTTATTGAGGTGGTCTCTGAAACCTGCCTTTTTTTCTGATTTCGGTGACTGTATCCAGGTGAGGTGCAGTGAAAGTCCTAACCCCAGCTCTGCTGCATAAATACAGGGGGAAACTAGCAAAGCCTCTGGCTGAAAAGCCCAGCCCTGCTCTGCCTGTTTGGGCCGGTCCCTCTCTTGGTGATAGCTTACCTCTGGAATTCAGCAAAGCTTTTTTATATTCCCATTGATTGGACAGAAACAGCAGGACGCGCCTACAAAAGGGGCAGTGTGTGCAAACTCCATCGTCCTCAGCCGCTTTTTTTTTTTCTGAAATACAATCACTCTTTCAAGCAGAGATTTGCTTGTTGTGTTAGGTTTTTATTTTGTGTGGGGGTTTTTGTCAGCGCTCCTTCCTATTCTCTCCACACCGCATTTACTTTGGTAGCGGGAGTTGCGATGGGGCGGTAGGAGGGAGACTCAAAAGTGTTCGGCGGCAGCGGCGGTGTCACTCTGAGCGTACTTGTGTAAACAGGGTATGGTGATTGCATTATGATGCAGCCCCTCCCTGCCACCATGACATATCAACAGCTATTGTTTAGCCTCAGGTGTTTAATTCTGGTTGGCAGGAAGCAAGCTGTTGCACAAGGCATGTGGTAAGATTTGCACATCAGCATGACAGGTCATTAGCAAGATCAGAACAGCATTGAGAAATCGCCTGCGTTCTGCTTTTATTTGTTTTTCTAGCTCCTATGAAATCCAGATGTTATTTCTGCTCAGCGTTTGTCACAGAGGCTCTGACCACAAACTCCACTAACAGTGGTTAGAGTTGTTTATCATCCAGAAATAAATCACATCAAACATCTTAACATGTTTATTAGTGTTTGGATTTTGGAGAATGTTTGATTAATGTCTCCTAATATATGTGAAGCGCCAGTAGTCCTCATATTTCAGGTTTGTGGTGACAACATAAAATTTCCATACTTAAAATTAAAATTGTAATAATTTTGCTAAACATATTTGTTTAGATACGAAACATCTTTCGTATCAAAATCCACCTCTTCTACTCTTCCACCCGAAGAGCTCTTTGTCACATCCAAGTTTGGGAATTGCGGTTGTGGAAATCTCTCTTCAAGAAGGATTCTTTTATAAAATAAGTTAACACCGTAAGAACTTTGTTCTCTTGAACTTGGCCTGCCCAACCCCTTTCTACGAAGTTTTGTTTGAGTCTCCTCTCCCTTCAGTGCTCCATGTGGGATTTCTCCCTTTCCTTCTCCCAATTTCTTTGCATGAATTCCAACCCGGACCAATCAGCTAACAGAAAGTGGAGTTATGAATAATGGCAATAGCAACGGCGGAAGTGAACAAAGCCGTTCAGTCTGAGTTGTTCGGCGCTTCCAAGTAATTAAAGTCTGGGAAAGAGGATCGTCTTAGACGGTTTATTGCTGGCAATGTTGTCGTCACCACTTCTCTCTTTGCAATGTTCATTTACAATGCACCCAATTTCTGGTAAGCTTCATAGCATTGCTTCCTGCGCGACTATGTTGTTACGTTAAGTTAGGTGATGACCAAACATTAGCAGTTGGGTAAAATCAGATCCAATCGAGTCCACGCCGCCAATAACCAATTGCCAATAAGCTATTTGTCAGTAGTGGAGTGTCAAGGCCCTCTGTATGAACAAAGGCTGGTTTTCATCAGGCTAATTTTAAGATCGTCCAACAAAATCAGGCAATCTTAATAGGTTGAGATGCAAATGACTCCATGCCGCTCTTTGAACAGATAGTTTAAGTTTCAGTGGCTATTGCCAAGTCTCAGATCAAAGACTGTATGCAGTTCCATCTAAAATCTTGAAATCCTGCCTGTTTTTCACTGATCTTCACCCCCCACCACCACCCTCTACACTTGTTCTCACACATGCGAGTGTTGGACTGTGACCCCGGGCCAGCAGTTCTCAATTCTTGGCTTGTGTCTGTGTTGAGCCAAGCATTTACCACAGGCTTGCTCAGTTTCACTTGGGATGCAAACCGTTTGAGATGATTTTACAGCTGATAGGCATCATGGCTTCTATAATTACCGCAACCCAAATCGGCAGTCTTAAAGACGAGAGCCTTCCAGAGCTGATTTTAAAAAGATCGCTGCTGCAGCTCAGCTCTCCACCCTTGGATTGGTTTTCTCTTTAGTGGATGTATCTTTTCATAAGTCAGTGTTGACACGTGTCTCCTTGAAGTGTTGGGGACCAGGGGGCTCTATGCGCTGGCAGAGGGAGACGTCTGGACATCAGGACAGTTTCAACCTCCAATTAATCATTTGGTTAGCAACAACTTTAATAGTTTGTTGGGGATAAATGATGCTGGAGCTCCAAGAAGGGCTTTTTATAGCCAGTTTTGATCTAATTTCAAACGATTGATACTCTCATGATGAGAATTTGTTTTAAACAAAAAAACTTGTTTTTGCTCGACTTCAAACAACATATTCAGGTCACAAGAAAGGGTTATATGAAATGAAAGGTTCATATGAATGAGTTTTTTTTCTTTACTTTTGTAATATTCATGCTTGTCTTAATCTACGTTAAGATGGGAACTTTAGCATTGTTAGCGACTACCGTTAGCCAGTTCTTCTTGCCGTGATTTCAAATCATTTTGTCACTTTGCTACTTCTTTCATCATACAACAAATGCTCCTTTGCTTTGTTACAGATGGTTGTAAGCTAGCTTGTGGATCTTTATCAGTAGACTCTGTCAACAGGGGCAAGTCTTGGTATTTTTTTTAGGAGGGGCCAGGTTGGGGCAAAAACTGTAGAAGAGCGGTATACTAAAATAGCAAACCTCCTCACACCTCTTTATTTTTTTTTACCTTTTTCAAACTTCCAGTGATTACTTCATTTTTGTCCTCATTTATTTCAACTAGTATTACTTTGACACTATGTAGGAGGCTGTTTGAAACGTTCTTTGACCCGCCACAATTTGAGGTGTGGCCAAGAAAAACTTGCATTCATTTTAGGTCTTGCACGCTTAGATCCCCAGATCACGTTTGACGGGCATACAGTATGTAGAGATTTGCAGGGCTCTTAAAGGCATGTAGGTCAGCACCCACATCATTTCGAAGATGAGATCTTTGAATGGTCGGGGTGTGGTTTCACTCCGGTCTTCTGAGGTTTTCATTAAGCTGAGAAAAGATATGACCCTGGGGCTTTTTCATTTGTATTGCAGTATTTACTTTAAAACCAACTGAAGAAAGAGGAGCAGAAGAATGACGAGGTTATGAGTGCACTTTAGCTTACCGCTAAGCCTGGCATACATCAGATTGTCGGCATTAAGTATTCACTCAGAAAACAGATCACTTATCTGGTGATGCATACATGTGTGGGAATGATATGGTGACACAGGAATTACATTCTTGTTTAATTGCTGCTTTGACTTTACGTCGTAAGTTTATTCAAAGGATGCATTGAATTTTAACACATGCAAATACCATTCACTTTCAATGGGAATGTAGTTTCCACCTTCCTTCTCTCCTCTGCTCTTTTTCCTCTCTTCCTTTTTTTTCCTGTCCGAGTTGCATTTAATATAAGCCCAAAGCAATTTCTAATAAAGCCTTCAATCTATGTATTTGTATATCACATGGAAAATATAGCAAAAGTTGTAATGCTCCATTTGTGAAAGTAAATCTGTCCTGGACACTGAGAGAACAATTCTGATGGCTACACTGATGGACAGAACAATATTTAAAAAAAGAGGGAGAGAATTCAGCCTTACCTTGAACCCACAAATTCTGCTCTGTTAAAATTTTATAGCTGACATCACTGTTATAATACATATTTTGGCAAAAGTAAAAGTATTTGTTGCCTCGCTTTAGAATGCAGTTAGATCCTGTTCTAAATTTGATATATATATATATATATATATATATATATATATTTAAATACTGCGATACAATAAGACTGTGGTGTTTCTGGTTAAGGGTGTCTCATTGTGATTTTCTGCAAATGTTCATGTCTAATTATCAGCCTACACTGCTAGAAACAGCAGTGAAAACTCTTATGTCTTAGGCAGCTTTGTTCTTTTCACATAATTTCTTGTCCAGAAACCAAGACAAAACTGAAAAAAAAAAAAAAAAAAACATCTTTCCTTCAGATCATCTGGGTTTCTGTCTTAAGTCAGGGAGAGATTGACAGAAAAACAAAAACAAGATGCACAGTCAGCGCCACAGGTCAGCTGTGACAGGAAGCTGAAAGGCTGTCACGTGGGTCAAGTGTTACTGACGCTTACGGAAAAAAAAAAAAAAAAAAAAAACGCTTCTCTGTGGTTTTTTTCTGTTTGTTTTTCAGGAGAGACGGGGATGGATTGCGCATCTTCTGGGACCGGCTGAGGGAACCCTCGTTCAGCTCCAAGTGGAACCCCTTCGCCAACGACTTCCCCTTCACCACGTTCATTCACCATCCTGTGAGGAACATCGACACCTTGGCTGCTCTCTGTGACGTAGGTGGACTGATGACGTTTTTGTTTTTAGAATTATTTGCCTCCCCAAACGCTGCGAGAGAGACATGTTTCCTTTCTGTTTCTTATCACAGAACCCATGTACTGGTGCTTCAAGGAATTTAGCTGGTTACAACAATTCTGATCTTAGGACAGAACGATGTTCTTCTGGAGTTCTTAGAATAATCCACAGACACACTCACTGCCTTAGGATTTATTCTATTAAAAAAATGTATGTATTCCTATGAACCCCTCCCTCCCAATTTAGTGATTTTCATAGTGAAATAGAAAACCCGACACATTAAGGCTTCAGTTGCGTTTTGCTTCTGAAGCAACCCAGGTGTAGGTGTTGTTCTGACGTCTCCATGTTTGGTGTGGTGGAGTGAGTCAGAACAGCAAAATGATAACTGGAAAAGGAACATCAAAGACGATTCATTTGGAACTGATCATTTTCAACTCTGAGAACTGAGACACACACCACACACACACACACACACACACACCTGGATCCAGGAACGAGCTGCATCATCCAATCTCACGAGTCGGTGCTGAAGGCAAAATACAAGAAAACTAATTTGTTTGAGTTTCAAAGATTTATAATCTTTATTGAGTAATGGCTGTTTTCAAGACAAACTTTGATGAGAAATATTTGTTGTTTCCACCAGACTTGATCTCATGACATTAATCGTCTTTTCTTCTCCATTTTGTCCTCCATCTTTAGAGTTGTTAGCTTTTGATCGGTTGCCTCAAAACTGGGATTTGATAAACACTCTCAGCTCTCTTTATCGATTAAAACCTGGATTCAGTGAGTTTAAAGCAAACATCCAGAGCTCAGTCCTGACTTAAACCTGCAGCACAAAGCAGGAAACGGAGAAGAAGATCCAGACAGAAAAAAGATAAACAAAATAAGAAATGAAAAAAAAAAGATTAAATAACGACACATATTGTTCGCTGATTCACAAATAAATAATGACACAGGCTCTATTTTAAGTCTAGATTTGCCTGATGGTGCATAAACAGTTCAAACGATTCTGATTCTAAGTTGGAGTGTTTTTTAAACATTTTAACAAGCTGGATTTTGAGGAAAAAAGTAAGAATTTCTGAATTTTTTTGTCAGTGACCTTGATCTGCTTCAGTAGAGTTCAGAAGGCACGCCTTTGGCCGGCATATACAGGTAATCTGTGACGTCAACGTGAAAAGTTTTTCATGCACTTTCATTTGAGACATTTCCAGCGAAGGATCTCTGTGTCAGTCTGACGACGTCCTTCACATACTTCTCCATGTCTCTGCTGGCGATTGCCTAGCATAACCAACACGACACGTAGCGCTTGTGTAATCTGGTCATGTTTGAGTCCTTTGCTAAAACCGCTCTGTTTACATTGTGCGGTTTATCTTTCCTGTCCCGTTTAAAACCAAAGTAATCTCAAATGGGCGACTTTGTGGTTTTTGGCCACTAATTCCTACATTTTTGGACATTGTTCCACCCACAAAAAAACACAAACGTCACCTGGGACTGACAAATATCGGCTGGTAAAATGTTGCATATTGATCATCGTTACATCATGGCGCATGTGGAGCTCAAACTGTGTTTGTTACGGCAGGAAACGAGGTCGTTTCACCTTCCTGCCCCACTGAGGGGATCCAGTGGGACTTTTTAACAGGCCACAGTACCTGGAACCGTCCACTCTCTTGTCCCCGAGTCTGAGTCAGTCAGGATGCGTGATTCACCATCCGGCTTAAGGATTGCATCAAAGCTGCTGTGGGTTTTTTTGTGTTGTTTTTGCAGTTTTCTGTTCTCTAGCTGCTGGTTTTTAAAAGTGCTGTTTAATTAATTCGGGAAGATCTTTTTGTTCAGTCGTTTTTAAAACGATTGTAGTTTCACAACGAATGTTGCCGAGCTCAGATCTGATAAGACGGAGCATCTTCACACCTCAAGGTCTGGAATTTAAAAGGGAAATTGCTGAACATTACTCAACCTCGTTTTTAAAAGGTGTCATCGATGTTGCAATCGGGAATTTGATCCCGTCTTTGGTAACAAAAAAAAAAGGGAAAAAAAAGTTTATTTAAACAGAAACTGATCCTCTGCAGCAAGATGCTTTTGAAAACTGTAAATGAGGTGAGGCTGCTTCTAGAAGCGACACAATAAACAGTTTAAGTCGGACTAAAACGTAAAACTTTTCCTCCTTGAGGCTAAAGATCCTTCACCTCCACATGTCTGAACCTGATCACTACAGTATGAGTTATGTACAGATTAAATAGTGTGCCATACAACTTCATGTTTGTTTTTACTTTCACCTTTGTTTATTTTATTTGAAAAAGTCTCGTTTTTCCTCCCGTGGATCATAAGCGTGCGCTAGCATTCACTAAAATCTGACGTTTTCGTATCAGTTGGAGAGTTTTACATTAAAATTTGTGATTCAACAGTCTGACTTTGTACAGGTGTGTTTTCTGGGAGTTCAACATAGTTACTGGGTGTAACTCCGCTCCTGCGCAGCACCAAGGTAAATATGCTGCTACTGCTGTGAGGAAAGGAGTTAATTACCCTGCTGTGGCAGAAATTACAGTTATGCTTGACAGCACTTTATGGTTAGGACATAGATGTATGTTGACATACTAGAGTCCTTCAAACAGTTTCCTAATAATGGATATAGAAGTGGTGAACTGCACCGCTGCGGTAAGCTCTGGATTTTGTCTCAATTTTGACATCATTTGATTCTGCTGCCCTAAAATGAAGAAGGTTATTTATCAGAAATCCAGGGGCTCTGCATCCCTGTGTGTGAAAACTGGTAGACTCTTAACACTGGAATGTATTACATTCATTTTACTGATGTGCATCACTTGTTTCCATCCGTTTTACTGGTCAACAGGTTTTCCGACTGTTTTAGGGTCATTTTGATGAGCTGAGTTCAAACGTCACTTTGGTTTTGCTCAATCAGGTCGACTTTCTGAGCTATGGAGCAACATGAGCGTCAAAATGCTCGACTTGTTCCCACGTCTGGATCGGTTTCCTGAAGATCAATGAGTGGTGAGCAGGAGGAGAGACTCCATCAGGACAGAAAAGAGACGTGACGTTTGAATACGCTGTTAGAAAACGTTTTTAGAAATATTGATGGAAATCAATTGATAATGTCACAAAAATGTGACCAATTTAATCAGAAGATTGTATTTCTCTGCATCCCAGAATTCCCTGCATTAACCTATTTTATTCACACTTACAAGGAAGAAGGAGCTTCCCAGCGTGTTTGTGACGTCGTAGAAAAAGTTTTACATTAAAAAAAATCAAATCAATATCTTGATTTTGCAGAGACTTGTTTTAAACGTAAGTTGGCTTTTAATACATTAATCACAGGTCAGACATCTGCGTTGCGTTCCGTGACTAGAGGTGGTTGGGGCCCAAAAGAACCTTCACCACTTCGTTGGATGCATTTAAAAGGTTAAAAAGAAATGAAAGCAAAGCTCAACCTGTGCTGATATTTCTGATCTTTCCTCAGATCCAGACGTTTTCCGAGAGGCTCAAGCATGCGGCTGAGAGAGCCCACATGAGAAAGCCGATTCCTGGGAAAGCCAACGGCGTCCTGGTCCTGCAGCAGCCAATCTACATCGAGGCGTACGTGGGCGCCATGTCCTTCCTCGGAAACCAGAACAAACTGGGCTACTGCATGGCCCGAGGAAACCTCGGATTTTAAACTTGGTGTAACTTTTTTGATGTTTTCTCTGAATTTTTTTTTTTTTTTTTAAATTTCAAAAGTTAATGGAAACCTTCCAAAAGCGGGTCAAAGATTTGTTTTTGTTTGCTTCTGCTGGTCGCCACGGCTCGTTCGCTGCCGTGTGATTCTCAGAAATATTCCCGGTTTCAGAGCGGTTCTCCTCTCTGGCTGACGCTGCCCCCCCCTCCGCCCCCCTGCTGCTTTTGCTCCCCAGCGATATGGTAATTCAACTCTTTCGCAACGAGACTCTTTTCTTCCTCCCCCGGTATTTCTGTTAGGAGCTCATTCCCCATGCCATTCCGCCCCTTAGAGATTCACTGGAGCATAGGGGCTCATTTGTCAGCTTAGTTTTTATCATTCTCTGTGTATTTTTGCAGTGCATACAGTTGAGGAATTTCCCTTTAGTTTTGTGAGTTTGCAGCTAGCTTCTTATGATTTTTTTCTTATGCCTTGTTTGTTTTTTTTTCCTCATAAGAATCGGTTCTCCTCTTTTGGGGTCTTTACAGAAAACGGCAGCATGCTGCCTTTTTCTTCTTTTTTCCGTTAAACGTTTTATTTCTAGGGTTACGTTTGTTGATTTCTACAGTAGAAGAGCTGATTAAGTCGTTACAAGGCAACCAAATAACTCAAAGCGGTGTTCATGAAGAATTCAGTGAATACAAAATGAAATCTGATCTGATTAATATTTTGTGGTTTGTGAAATGAGTTATAGCCGAGTCACTTTACTTCTTTTCATACACGTTTTTGATGGTTATTATATATACTCTAATGACAAAATGCACTTGGGAAGTAAAGTGATGGAGCTGGGATTGGGAATGTATACAAATAAATTATTTTACAACAACATGCCGTGCTTTATTTAATCCTAATACAGAGTGGTCATAATTATTTGCTTGTTTCCTGGTGAAAAACACACAGAGCCTCCTTGTATTCTGTTCAGCATTGTTTCAGACTGATGTCCTCCACTCCACACCGCATTAATGCAGTAATTCATTCAAAAGGAGCCCCAACCAGATATATATTGCATATATTTTTAGTCTTTGTCTGCAAAGAGCATGAACTGCATGGTTTTCTGGTTGACTTTTTGAAGTTGTGTCTCTGAGGGACAGAAGATGAAGAACTAACATCAGGCACAAAACATCTCATAATTTTTGGCTATTACTGTACATGTTCCCAAATAGAAATGAAATATGATCTTCTCGGCAGTCTTCACCGCTCGGCCATGAATTCACCGCTGCGTAGCGATGAGGCGTATCTGCAGCATACATGCAGGATGATGTTTGAAAAGATTCAAAAGTAATCAAACTGTACAGGATCAAAATTTAGTTTTCTAAATCAGCTACAGGTTTGACTAAAACAGCAGAAATCCAGGTGTGATGGGGCATTGAGGTGTGCAGGTACACAAACTATTAATAAAGTATCAAAATGCATAAAAAATGAAGTTCAGAAGAATATGATGCAGTAAGGACAAGATTATAACAACATATTGAGTGATTGTCAAAAATAGTAAGTGCAAAATCCTTTCTTTGTTGTGATCAATTGTCATGGACTTTATTCGTATTGATTTCTTTTCATTATTTTATCCTAGTTTTTCCCTTTTAAGTTCAGAACTTTTTTCTTTTGCATTTAACTCATAATTTCACTCTCCTGTCTCCAGTTTTGGTGCTGCTCTGAAGTCACTCTGCTGGACTTCCTCTTTACCCGAATGAATGTGCATAAGCATATATTGATGTTATGTCAAGAAAAAAAAAAAACTTGTTTATAGTTGTCTTTTTCTGAAAAGACATTATTTATGACAGAAGTAATAAATAAAACTCAGCTCTATGGATTATAAATAGATGGTTCCCCTGCAGGTCCAAAGATGAGACCCGGTGGCTGCGTCAGTTGACAAAAATCTCCATCACGGTTTCAGTCACGTATTTTTATGTAGTTCGTATTCCGGAGGGAGGAAAAAAAAGAAAAGGTTTTTATTGAAAAGTTGTTCTGCGGCTACAAAATGAGCCCAAATCACCACCCTTCCCCCTCCGTACAAAGACAGTTGTTTTTTTTGTGTGTTTTTTTTGCTGACATGGCGATCAGATCCATTTGACGCCTTGGTCTCGTCTGCCCAGAGGAATCCTCTCTGAAGCTCTTGTGGGTTGATCTGGTTGTACCTTTGACTCTCGTGTTGCTGATGAAAATGAATCCTGCAGCCAACGGTTTCAAACAAGCCGAACTTGTTCTGTCTCACTGCAACTGTCGTGAATCTGAACATTTTCATTCTGCCAACTGAGCCCTGAAGAGTCTCAGGTGTAGTTCTGGAGAGTTTGTTTTTTTTGTTTGTTTTTTTTTTGCAAGGTGATGAATTTGGGTGAGTTTCATTCTGGTGTTGAGAAACAAACGAAACAACAAAATGTTGTTTTGTTTGTTTTTTACGTGTGAAACTCCTACTGTGTATTTTTTGAAAACTGAAATGACAAACAGGAGGCTGAAAGAGAAAGTCAAAAAGTTGTTGGACCTAAAATCAAAATCAATAAACTGATACACATCAAATGTTGATCAAAGTTCCAGCTTTTATGAATTGAGGCAACTCTGAACAGGTGGATTTGAAAGGAAGTCAGTGTTTCGTCTGTTTTGCTGTTTTCTGGACTTTTGTTCCAGGTTTGTGGTGCTGAATGCTGCTTCTCCATGTTTGGTTCTGGTTCCGGGGATACAGAGCAGAACCAGAAGATCTGAGGGGTCTGGAAGGTCGCTACAACAACAGCAGATCTTTAAAGTATTTCAACAATTGAAAGATTTAGAAACCAACATCAGTATTTTAAGGTGATATTTTCTGAGCTACAGGGAGCCGGTGGAAGGACTTCAGAACCGGGGCGATGTGCTCTAACTTTGTGGTTTTGGTTGCAACACCAGCAGCAGCGGCGTCTGGATCAGCTGCAGCAGAAGGATTGACTTTGTGAGGACACTGTTCCAGTAATCAATGCAACGAAAGATCTTGCGGCGACATTTGCCCTTCAGTCCTGGTGACAGAAGGCCGATTTTGTAACTACCTTTATGTGACCCTGAATACTCAGGCCTGGAGAACAAAAACGCACCACCTACCAAACCTTGTCACAATCAGCGCAGCTAACCCTTCATTCCAATGATCTCACAATGGAAACGTGTCTCCCTAAAATCCATCTCGACAGTCGCGCTGAGACGACGAGAAGGCGGAAAAATGAACCGAAACTGTTCCAACCATCAGAAGACGAGAGGGAAGTTACCCAGCAGTCTGTGCAGCTGTAATCCTTCAAGGTAAATTACAAGGCCGGGTTCGACGCAGGAACATATTGCTGTCAACACGGAGAGCAGGAACATGTTGCTTTCTGGAAGAGGTGATCAGAAAACAGGATTAGCAGGCGGCTAAATGGACTCTCATGAAGTTTCTCACCTGACAACAGCCGTGCCAGAGCGAGTGCTTTTATTTTGTTTCCATGGAAACCTCTTTGACCTTTCTTTCTTTTTTTTTTCTCTTTTTTTTTTTCCTCTTTAAGTTTGACTTTGCAATCACCGTGACTGTATCTTTGTGCTGCGAGTGCAGGAGGGCGGCGAAGCATGCGGCCTCGCCTGTGCGCCGTTGCTTTCTTTTAACGCCACGGTTGGGGATGAATAGGAAGCGCCGGCTCAGATGTGCGTGCAGGATACAGGAGGGCGTGTTACCGACAGCGATTTACCCTTTGTCCTCGCATGATCTTTTTTCTTTTCTTTTTTTTCTTTTTCTAGATCATTATGTTTGGCCCCGAAGGTAGAACAACTGAGTTAGAGCGCCGCTGCGCTCTGTGAGATTTACATGACAGTTGAGAACTGGCGGACGAGACGAGACATCAAGGTCAGGACGGCAACCGCCAGGTGACCTCAAACACAAGGTCACGGCAGGAAAGGATGAGGAAGCGAGTATAGATGAATGAAAAATTGCTATTTTAAAAAAAAAGTTTTTTAAATCTGAAATAAGCCACAAATGTCATTTTAGTGATCGTAAAATGAACTGCGGTCTAAAACGTCATGTTTGAACAAATAGGTTTTCAATTGGAATCGCTTCAATGTAGGGAAAATCCTCATATTTCTCATCAGAATAAGACACTGAGTTTGAAATAAGATGATCAGTGATCCAAAAACTTGATGAACTTTTGAAAGTTATTGAGAGATCTGGGAAATAAAACATTACTTTTTAATGATCTGCTGCTTTCAGCCATGCGTGGATGAAGCTCCACTTGGTTAACCTGGCAAAGATAAATGAGGTTTAGTGCATCTGCATTCCTTTCTGCAAAGGTAGGCCATTGCCTTGGGCTAGACAATATGTGTACTTAGCTTCTTTTTTTTTTCTTTTCCCCACCCAGTGCAGCATCAAAGAAATTAACTCGCAGTTTGTGGTTATTAAATGACACCGGTGAGTACAAGAAAAACAAGTCAGCGTGATGAGGATGCGGCTCAATTCTGGCCGCTCCGCAAACTTAAACAGATACTTCAGGAAATTCAAAGTGAGGTCCTGCGAAAAGTGTGCGAGCGGTTATTACCTTACCTGCAGCAGGGTTCTTCATCCGCTAAAACATTCACATTCGTCTCCCCCATTAGACCGAAGCTAACGCCGCTAACGAGTGGAGGGAGAAACGCCACAGCTGAGCAACTGCTGGAGTTCAATTCCCATTTAGCTCTCATAAATAACACCAACAGTTCCATATCCGTAGACTTTGAGGAGTTCTCATTAATTATGATGATACATGGGCTTCTCTTGTAGAATTTAACTTTGATCAAATCTTTTATATTACATTTTATTTGCATGAATTTCGGTTCTGATTCCCATTTGGAGCACAAAATTTGAGTACAATGTGGCACGGGTGGCATCTCGTTCTCAAATTTTACTCAAAGCTCTCCAAATAAAAATATTGGCGCTCGGTCAGAATGAAACAACAAACGACTCCATTTCTTACTGGGGAAGGAGGATTAAGTGAGAAATAACAAAACCTGCAAAAACTGCGTCTGGCCACGCAGGTTCTGTACAAAATGTTGGCGGGAAACGATCAGAACACGCCTTTGAGCCATCGTCATTGTTTTCATTTCGCGGCCAATTAGGTAAAGGCTTTGTTTATACCAGAAAGGAAAGTCGGAGGCGGTGCGCCACCAATAATCTAACTGTGTGAAACACAAACTACGAACAAGCATGTAAAGCATTCCTGATTGACTTTTATTTCTGCTCCCCAACTTTCCTTTCTAACCAGGAATTGCTTCGAACATGAAAATATGGTTCTGGTACATCTAGCAGATTCAGATTAAATCTAATTTATTTTACCAAGGTGTTTCTTCTGACTGTCAGTCATATCCACTTTTACAGAGAAATGAAGAGGCAATGACTGACTGAAAAGCTACATCCTAACTTTAATAGTCTCAATAACTTGAGTCATTTTAGACGCGTCTTGGTTTATATGACTGATTCGGTTTCATCAGCTTTCCTTGCTAAGTGCCTTCAGGTGTGTCGTCTGTTGCAAACCGCGCTACATAAATAACCTGCATCGTGTCTACCGAAGCATGACCAGGAGGAAACAACATTAAGTACCAACAAACAAATTAGTTGCGAAAGGAGCCTCCTCCTGGATAGAAGCCGCGGTCTAATGGGTTTTGTTGGGAGGTCCAGGCCGCCTTTCCTCCCCAACGGAAGTCTTCATGTCTGGCTCGACAGGTCCAAGTGGTTATTTTGCCCTGAACGCGATGCGAGACGCGTTCCCCCGTTGCCCCGCAGTGGAATCTGAAAGCGAGAGGCTCAGGAGCTGCCCGTCAGGGCCCGCGACCCCGGATGGCCTCGGCTAACAACCAGAGCTGCCTGGGATGCTTGA